TATATATATATATATTGTGTGTGTGTGTGTATAGCGCAGGGGCCGCGGTAGTTCGGTTGCGTTCACATTTGTTCCGGAGGATAAACGGCAGTTTGCCTCGCGCTCTGGATTTACAACGGGTTAAAACTGGTGGTTTCCAGTGCTTCTGATAGGTTCATGATTATATTTTCTTTTTCACTTAATCGGGACTGGAAATTGGAGTAGACGCGAATGGACGCCGTCTGCTTAGTTCCAAAGCGCTTCCTTTCGAAGAAGCTCTTACCAGAGTGTGAAGTCGACGTAACTATCGTACACAACGATACATATAATAAAAAATTCACGAGACTATATTGTAATAATTTCCTTTGAACATGTGTTGGTCATTCCCCGACGGTTTCGTACTTATACGGAACTCAGGCATGTGTCGCTAGGAAGGGCTATCGCCAGCCCCTTGTTAAATTTTTAATCGTACACTATTGAATTCTGTATATTTAAATAATAAACATGTATATAAGCATTGTTTTAGTTTATTTAGGTAGAACTTCCTGTAGAAATTGCTTTTTGGTATAAGCATAACGTAAATAATTCTAGGGCGTTCACTCCATTTTGATTAAATATCTTTAATACCGTAAAGAGGCGGGGTTGAGGCACTACAAGCCGGAAGGTCGCGGGTTCAAGTCCTGATGATGTCATTGGATATTTTTTTCAATTGACCTAATCCTTCCAGCCGTAATATGGCCCTGGGGTCAACTCAGCCGCTAACAGAAATGAGTACCAGGAATTAATTAAATAATTTCCCTGGGGAGTAAAGAGCGGCCTGCGCGTAAGGCTGACAACCTTACCGCCATCTATGAGCCGTTTGTCTAAAAAATGTGGGAACCTCAACGTCTCACAACCCTATGGGCTTCCACGGTCTTTTACAGGGATACCTTTACTTTTGTTTTACCGTAAACCTTATGGAGAATGTTTCATTTTTCTCCGTTAAACTTTTTTTGACAGTTCTCGCACCAATAAATATTCAGCGAATTCCGCTCGAGTTGTGCGGTGAAAAGCACGCAGGTTCTTGTGAAGTGGCCTTATTTCGGGGCGTGGTTTAAAACGACCGTCAACACAATACTAAATAAAACTAAAATGCACGTGTTAATACTGTCTCACTTTCTACACCACTACTTGATCGGCGTCATCATCATTATCATGTGCTTACAACAAATACACAATTGTCGTCACTGAATTGGTGAACTAATATGGACCCCCATTGGTGAACATCGCAAATGATATATTATCTGTATATTAAATTTCGGATTTGTTGGCATTTGTAAAATGTGGTAATGTTGAAAGTTGAGAACATAAAGAAAATCATCAAAAATAAGATAATCAGAACTGCGTCACATCTACACATTCAAATCATGTATCTACTCGCTATAACTCCACAAACCTGCTATTGCCTCATGCCTACAATACATAAAGCTACAACCGAACAGTCCCCACATATTCCTGTAAGACATACAAGGATGGAAGAAAACACGGCGAAATATATTATGGAGATTATCCCTATTGTATTTTATTGTATTTTAGCAATCAGTTTTGTTCAGCTACTTTTAATATTTAACATTTGCCTAGCACTGGCCGGGGCGGTCTGTTCCACTATTCCGAATTTCGGGCATAATGTCACAATATGTCGATAGAGATGCTTGTAACTTTTGTATCCCACAGCAACTCCCTCCAAGTGTCTGGTTCACAGTCATAAGAAATACATTTTTTCACCACGAACCTCAAATAAAAGTGTATTATGTTAAAACATACTGTGAGATACGGCTTTTTGTGAAAACATTCGTTCAGATATCATTGCTGTAGCCTATTTTAGCCAATTTAGGAAGCATTTTTTTTGTAAATTTTAGGTACCAAAACAAGAAGAATGTCATCGCTCTGTCAGACAAAGACTTGCTACACCAACTGCCAGCCCCAGTCTGTCACGAGCTAATAATAAACCTGTATCATCAACACTCAATCGTATCAACAACATGAAGAACAAGGAGCAGAACTCCAGTGGCTCAGGCGGTGGCTGGTTCAAGTCGCTTGACAGGCTCACTAAAAGGGGGAAGAACAAAGCCAAGGTAAGTACAACTGAAAAGTGTCGCCATTTCAGATGAAATGATCTGAAACAGCAATAACATGTCCGTCATGTATTAGGATGTATCCAACCACAACCATCACAGGCGCAACGGTTTTCTTCGGTCTAACTAGACATCGCCACAAATTAACCTTGAAATTTGCCAACAGCAATTTATCCAGTATTCCTCCAAGACTGACATTCATCAGACATCGCATTATATCCATATCTCATTCAGCACATCAGGACAGATGAAGGTAGAGGTAGGCAGCTGTTCTGAAAGTCCCTTGCTACCAAAGTATGTGGAGTCACAACCCAGAAAATAATCTTCATTACTAGGAAGATGATGTTATATGTAGCCACATGAATTTCAGAGGTAATTCTACAGCCATCTTATTCCTCCATTGCATTCTCCTAAAAGAAATACCTTACTAAAAGTTTCGCACTTTCCAAACACATGTCATTATCTGAAACGTCAGACGTTACATTCAGTGGCACCTTTGTTGCTCCCACTTCTCAAGTTCACACAGCAGCCAAGATGGTACTCTCAATTGCAGAAAGTTAAAATACATTAAAATGAGAGGGTATTCAGAGGCATGAAATTCGTAACAGGTTTCATGAGACTCAATCAGTTTTTGCCTGTAATACTGATGTTCATAGTTGAAACGGGAGCCATGTTAGGTGGGTCCCTTGTCACCACGGTATGGTGCGTCCTCAGGCTGCCGATGGAGGAGACGGCCTCCAGATATAGAGGGTAGCTGCGAATATATTGAATAAGCAGTCGCAGAAAACTGACAATGGGTCTTTCTCCAGCTGGGGGAGGGGGGGTTGGGCAGGGCTACAAACTCCTCACCATAAAGAATAAGCTTCTTACGCAGTGTCTCAAAGGGCCTCGGACCTGGATGGATTCTTTGGATGAACGACTCAAGCTAAAGAAAATGGACATGAGATTTGGGACATGGAATGTAAGAAGCCTGTACGGGTCAAGTTCGGTCAGGGCAGTGGCAGAAAAAATAACAAAATATGTCAGATTTAATGGGAGTACAGGATGTCAGATGGGATGGAGGCATTCATGAAACCAGGAGGCAAATATACAAATATACATTTTTTATGGAAAGGGAATGAGAATCATGAATTAGATACGGTTTTTTTTTGTATATAAGAGAATCACGTCAGCAGTTAAGAATTTGTTAGTGATAGGCTGTCGTCCATAATCCTAAGGGTTCACTGGTGCAATATCATTATTGTGAATGTTCATGCCACAACAGAGGATAAAATTGATGCAAATGGCAGGTTCTGTGAAGAACTAGAGCGCGTATTTGATAAATTCTCTAAGTATCGTATGCAAATTTTGTTATGAGATGTCAATGCCAAAGTAGGGAGGGAAGACATTTTCAAACCAACAATTGGGAATGTGAGTTTACACGAAATTAGTAATGATAATGGAGTTAGAGTAGTAAATTTTGGCACATCAAAAAATCGTACTGTCAGAAGTATAATGTTCCCACACCATAATATTCATAGATTTAATTGGACATCTGATTATAATAAGACTCACAACCAGATTGATCATATTATGATAGACACGGGACGGCATTAAAGTATGCTTCATGTTGGATGGTGATACTGACCACTGTCTAGTAGTGGAAAATTTAGGGAGAGACCGGCAGTAAGTAAACACAGTTCATATGGAAGGATTAATCTCAAAAAATTAAATGAGGTAGATGGTAAAAGAAAATGCAGGGCAAAAGCATGACATAGAGATAACTAAGAGATATTTTGAAAATGTGACACAGTTAGGATATTTGGGAACGACTATAACAAATGAAAACCGGGTTCAGGAGGAAATGAAGAAGACAGTAAATTTGGGTATTGCTTGCTACCATCAGTCCAAAACCATTTGTCTTCTTGTCTGCTGTCTAAAAATATGAAAATTAGAACACACAGAATTATAATTTTGCTTGTGGTTCTGTATGGATGTGAAACTTGGTCTCTTATATTAAGGAAGGAACACAGACTGAGGGTATTTGAGAACAGGGTGTTGAGAATATTTGGACCGAAGAGAGATGAAGTGACAGAAGGTTGGAGAAAACTACATAATGAGGAGCTTCATAACTTGTACTCTTCTCGAGGTAAAATTAGAATGATCAAGTCAAGGAGGAAGAGATTGGCAGGGTATGTAGCACGAATTTGGCGAATATGCGTGCATATAGGATATTTGTGGGAAAACCAGAAGGAAAGAAGCCATTAGGAAGACCAAGACATAGATGGGAGGACAATATTAAAATGGATCTTAGAGAAATAGGATGGGATGGTATGGATTCGATTTATCTGACTTGGGATAGGGACCATTTATAAGTCCTTGATATTTATGTAGGTACCTTTGTTGTCTCAGTCAGCCTCAGACATGTGTGAGGACAGTATTTTAAGTAAACCATTTCCAGTGCTATTTATTAAGGCTGCCAAGTGATTGATAGCTGGATTGAAATATTTACCATGCATTATGAATTTACTGACTTATCAGGGAGTTAAATGTTTATAAGAAAATAATTTTCTCAAACACATAGTAACACAGTGTATTATGACTGGCAGTTAAATTACTGGTTGACATGAGTAGCCTATAGTTCACACCTATTATGTACCGTCTTTGAGATACATTGTTATATGTGTTTTGTAACAGTGATTTGTTGACTGTATGTTTTTTAGAATCAGACAGGTTTTGAGTTTACAGTTTTTAATGAAGAATTGCAAAGAACTTCAAAAAACATGGCCATAGGTTAATTTAAGGTATGTCCTACCTAGAGATTGTAATGCCGTGTCTGCGTTACGTGGTTCCCCCCCTTTTACTACTTTTCCCCTTCCACTGCTCCACTTCCTGGTTCCGCACTGCTGAGCCTGCTGAGGTCCAACGAGAGTGATCCATTCTGTTGTGGGAGCTTGAACTGTTCAGTCGATTCACTCTTCTTGTGGTCTGTACGATTTTGATTAGTTGATTGCCGGAGGCCTATTTCCTCCAGGGACTTACATTGTATTCGCATTTAGTATTTAATATATATATTGTCATTTGATATATTTATTATAATGTCTTTGAGTTGGTATGTCATACCCAAAAACCAAATTTCTGTCTTCAAGACCTTTTCACGTTTCAAAGTAGTAGCAGAGCATGGTTTGGTTTTTGGGATCTCTTGGTCGTTGCCCTAGTTTTATGTTTTCTTGCTGTTTTGTTTTCATTATGACTACTGAGACAGTACTGCCTGAGTACTTGCATAGGGACGAACTAGAGAATGAGCTCGCCGTTCGAGGGGTTCCTATCGAAGGGTTGAATGTGACTGCACTGAGAGCGTTGTTCAGGACCTCGCGCGATGTTGAAGTGAACGCCGAGCAGTTCATCACTACGAAAGGTTCGAAGGCTATGCAAACTATTCTTTCCTTTTGTCAGGACAAATTTTTGCAAATCAAAGAGTAGGTGGAAAACACGGACAGTTCCCGTGTTTTCGTTGATTTCCCACGTTATTTACATAGACTTGCCCATCTTGGTACTCGGCTTCGCCATCTGTTCCAGTTTAGAAGAATACCATCCGAGTTGGAGTCTTCCGCCCTGACGTTGCGTGAGGAAGTGCAGTCACTTACGGTACAAATCAACAGCAATTTGCAGAGCGAGGAGCATACGTCATCAGTACTGCCGCTCGCTGCAAGTACGATCAATTTGCACAACGCTGAAGGCGTAGGGCCGAATCAGCTCTTGTATTTTCTGCCAGTCCTGACGTGGAGCATTTGACCCCTTCCCCTCTTCTTGTCGTGGATTCGGCCAGTCAACGAAACGATCGCTCAATCTTGGGTAATCTCCCACCACAGAGGTGTCCACTTATGCTGGTAGTATTTCTACCTTTCCTTTCGTCTTCGTAAAATTGCCGAATCCAGTACAGCAAATGTTTCAGGGTCTTCCCGTCACGGACGGATTGGAGTTGTCTCAGTTGATCAACATTTTTCGAGTTTTAATGCGGATTAGGCAGATTTTTACGGTTTTCCAAGTGCCCCCTGTTGACGTCTTGCAAGTCTTTTATAGTTTCACCAAGGGGACATTTGCCTCAAAAACGTTTGACGCAATACGGCGTGGGGATACTCTCCAAGCTTATCATGAGAGTATTCTTGAGTTTTTATTCCAACACGTGCCATGTTGCCACTGATAAGTTCCGATTATTTGAGAGCCCAAAGGGCCAACGAGCCCCTATCTGTTTATATTACTGACATTAAGGAAATTGCTGCTGTTCTGCGTCAGGATGCGGACGAGGCAGTTGTGGTCCGAAATATCCTCGATGGGCTCCACCCTCGGGAAAGAAGTCGGTTAGTTTTTGTGATAAACCTGCCACCTATACCGAACTAGACAACATATGCATACATGCACACAACATTTCGGCGAGCGACGAGAGTCAGAGCTCTCGATCGCGCAATCCACCCACTGTCATGACTCTTGCCGAGTCTTCTGTGTCTGGTAACCCTACTTCGCAACCTTCCCAAAAGTTTTGTTACCGCTGTAACAAAGTTGAGCACATCCGTCGAGAGTGCCGTGTTAAGTTATCAGCATTATCTAGGCAGCCGCCTTTATTCCAACGTCGACTAACTGACTAGAAGTTAACGCGCAGTCCTCTAGTTCTCACGTGCCTTTTGCCATTCCCAGGGGTGATACTCATACGGTTTCTACCTTGCAGAGTCAGAGTATACAGGGTGTTTCTGAGTATCATTTGCCCCATCTTCAAGTGAAATTGGGTTTCGGGCCAGTGCACGCGCTCTTAAACTCAGGGGCTGTGCGTTCATTAATATCGGTTACTGTTTATGAAAACCTTAAGAGGAAATTCCCCACTATACCCACTTATCCTGTCACTGTGAGATGTGTCACTGCGTCTGCGCACATCTTTCCGGTGCACATTGGGGTTATATGCAAGGTTAGAATTGATAGGTATACGTGGAAGATTCCTTTCTATGTGGTCCCGGATTTGATCGAAC